TTCCACGAAGGTGGAAGCTTGGCAATGATGCCTTCGTCAATAAATTTGTCCGTCAACACATACTTGAAGTACTCAAGTTCCTTTACGAGCGACTGTATCTCATGAGCTTGCTGGACAATAGAGAGCTCATCAGTCATCTTATATTCATAGAATTGCTCCATGACGTACAACTCGCTGCAGGCGTTCGAGGCCCCAACTTGGCCTCGAGCGCAGCCCACATGTCATTGTCGTTGTCAAACGACATATACGAATTCACAATGGATCATCAAGAACACTCAGAAGGGCGCCTTTAAAGAGGGTATGGATCTTCTCAAAAGCTTCCTGTTGTGCATGATTAAGATCACCCTCAGGTTTGCCCTTGGTGGCGTCATAGCAGTACATGTTCTGAAACCAGTAAACTGCTCTCGTGCGCCACCTCTTATATTGCACCCCCTTAAAGGTAGGCGGCTTCAGATGCGGAGCAAAACCATTCAGAGTAAATTGCCTATAATCAGGTTTTTGGATTGTTGAAAATATGAGCAAATTACTACGAGATTTAATCCAAATAAACACAAAAAAAATCATGACGACTAGAGCAGAGATTAAACTAATCATCTGGACTAGCATAGTAGATGAACAGATCGAATCTAGGGCACATACTAGAAACATGAATTCTAACACGATCTCGAATACGAAGGGCAGAATCACATACACTGCAACGGGAGCAGCACGTTGGCGTTGAGGTTGTCACCCATGTCGTGGAGCAAGAGGTTGCCGAGGTCGGGGAAGAAGTCGGCGGCGGCGAAGTGCCAGCAGTCGCGCGAGTGCGCTCCCCAAAATATTGATCGCCCCTCTCCCATACATGATCCCGAGAGGCCAGGTTCCGGAGGCCTGCTGTACCTTCTCGCGGTGCACGCCGAAAGGAGGGATGGAGAAGACTTGCGTGGCGGCGCAATGATTTGGAATGGTGGTGCGAAACCATGCGATGCGGCGGCGGCTAGGGTAGACGTCTGCCTAACTATATAATGAGGGCCGGGTAGGTCATGAGAGTAAACCCCACGTCCTAGTCATGATCCAAAAGAATCGAAAAATAATGACTCATTAATTTTTCCCGAGCAGCAAAAATATAGACAACGTGCATAGCTCTGTCCTCGGCTCGGCTCATTCCCGCAACCCGCACCGCGCCGCGTCGTGACGAGGAGGAGGAGCGCGCGTATAGGTCTCCTCTTCTCATGCTTATACAAGTGATAGAAGAGCTCACCTTATAAAGAGGTGCAAGTCTCACTCAACTTCTGGGGTGGGACTAAACTTTAATCTCACTCACAAGCTATCACGAATGGGCCAAGAGAATTTCAAAATTTTAGTTGGGCTTTGAACCAAAAACCTACTAGCAAATTCCAACAGACTAGTCCACGGACACGTCCACGGACGTTTGAAGGGCCATATTAGATGTACACGGCTTTAGATGCTCTTACGTATTCCTCACTTCTTTGTTTTTTGCGGAGAAATACGTATATTACACAACCAATCATTCCAATTTCTTCCCGAAACTTCCCAAAAAAAATCCCGAATTGGATCCAAAATTGACGGGTTAATATGAGCTTATCCATGCGGTTAGGCACTCTTCAAATAGGAATCCATTTTCTAACTGGCTTTCGTGCTTTGGTGAGTCGTCCGAGATCTTTTCGATGACCTTATTTAGTATTTGGGTTGGTAAGTTAAACTAGATAGCTATATGAGTGAAACAAAACAACTTATAAATTTGTAGTAAAAAGAAAAAATGGGCAGAAAAAGGAAGGCGTTAAGAGACGCTCTTGGCCTAACCCTAGACACTCTAAGATCCTTTTTCAAACCTGCTCTGCTCCCATTTAAGGAAAACGAATTTCACGTTCTTCCTGAAAGAAAGGGAGGATTAGGAAAGTCCTATTGATTGCTGCTTTCTCCAGGCCGCCGGGAAAAGCATGAAAAAAATTATGGTTACAATCAGTTCCACCAAAGTCCTGGATGTTGCATCCTGTGAATTTTGTGTATTACTCAACATCCAAGCAGATGGAACCGTCTGTGAGGTGGACTGAAAGCGCAGCGACCATGGATGTTGCATCCTGTGAATTTTATACAAGGAATCATCGTGTGTGTAGTAGTTTCGGTTCAACAACTATGCATAAAATACTCCATTGTAGAGCTAGTAAAGCACCTTCAGAGATAACATTCAGTTCTGAGTGTGATTATGTTCAGCATGCCGTGAAGATAATGGCACCATCAGAATCTCTTAGCACCATTCCTCTTGCGGTGTGGCGTGACTATGATGCTGAAACCTGGGGCATCTCCACCGCTTAATTTGGGCATCAAATATGTCCTTAGGATGGCTGCGATCAACGAGCCTGAGCTGTTGACTGAGCAGTGTCTTGTCCGTCTGTTGCATTGTGACATTGATGGTGTGTGTTTTGGAAATGCGGAAAACGAAGAGCATGAGAGCCACTTGATACTCGCCAGGCATCACCTTAAAGAGAACATGATTTCAGTCCCATTGTTTGAGGCGCTAAATATTGTGAACAAGGAGCCTCCATTCCACATATTGGTATAAGATGCCATGCTCCATCTTAATGATTTGGACCAGAAAAATGTGCTAATTCCTAGTACATTTTTATGTAAAAAATTGGTGATAATTTGACCGAAGAAATGTACTAAAGAACTTAAACTTGCCAAAAAAAATTAAAAAAGAATGAGCAATGCGCATCCAGGGAATCGAACCCTGGTCAATACCGTGGGAGGGTACTATGATACCACTACACCAGATGCGCTTCCATGTTTCTTCCTCTTTCTTTTCTTTAGAGGAGGTTGGATTCTAGAGCACTCAGATCTGCAAAGAAAAAAAAAACTAAATGGAGAAGTGGGGTATCGATCCCCATACCTCTCGCATGCTAAGCGAGCGCTCTACCATCTGAGCTACATCCCCGATGCGTTATGAGAAAAAACAAACAGAAAATGGAGAAGTGGGGTATTCAGTCAGATCTGCAAAAGCAAAAAAATTAAAATAAAGAGAAAAAAAAAAGCTAATTGGAGAAGTGCGGTATCGATCCCCATACCTCTCGCATGCTAAGCGAGCGCTCTACCATCTGAGCTACATCCCCTTGGGTCTATTGTACCGATCCTTTTTTAAACAGCTCAATACCTGGCGCAGCTGCAATGCAAGGTCCGTACAAAAACAATGTTAACCAAAGCAGGTGCAAAACTGCAAATGAAAACCCATTTGCACTGAAGACTATTCAATTTGGATGAAATCGTGACAATGAGTAATTCCAACTTTCTCTTCTTCTCTTATTTTCGATGCAAGACTAGTCGAATTCGTCTTGTAAGCGAAACATACATTTCAGACGCCGGGGTTTGCTTCCCTTCCACAAAAAGAAAAAATAATCCGAAAACATGCATTTTACTGACCCTGCAACGTTTTCAGTGTCCATCAATGTAACAAGAGAAGCAAAATGTCGTCGTGTGAATGTGAAGAAGAACGATGTAATGTGCAGAAACTAGTATTCTTACAGCATTGTGGGATAAAACCTGATTTTTTTTTCAAGAAATATCCCAGCAAAATGCAGCAAGTGGTGTCCGGGCACATTAGCATCGCCTTGTTCAAAATTCGATTTTACTCTGTCAAACAAAACACAAAATTCATTTTCTGCTCATGGACTGAAACTGTAAGCAGAATGACAAAACCCAAGTGCTCAGCTCACTGCAAGAAACACCGCATCTGTGCTGACACCAGATGCTTCATCTAGGAAAAAAAATGAATGCAGCTAGCAACGTTGAAGTACTGGCCATGTGCAACGCTGTATTGAAATGGTTTTTGTTTTTGTTTCCGTCTTCTATATGTTTTCAGTTTTCCTACTAAAAAGGGATTTTTTTTTCTTTTCTTGACAGCACCTAAAAATGACTTGATATATGTCCCGTGTTGAGGTTAGGGTTAGCAGAAGATAATTCACCCTTTTCCGTCAAAGCGGCCGCTCCTCTCCTTCCCCATCAGTTTCCAACCTGCACACAGCTCGTCTGGTCTCATCGGCCGCTGCTGGCCGCTGCAGAGACGCCGCCCATCCTCCTCCTCCTCCCTACAAACTACGGCAAACACTCTGATTTTCGCCCCAGAAGGAAAACCAGAGGTGAGATTTCGTCTCTGCGTAGCGAGTCTCTTGCTCCCGTGCAATCAGATCGCCCCCTCAGAACGTCCGGAGACGCCGCCGGGAACAGAACACATTGCGAAGCCGCTGGAAATCGCCGCTCCACCGTTCTCCAGGGTAGAGTAAACCCCCTCGGCCCTCTCCCTCCGTTCTCTCCTTCGACTTCTTCAGAATGTTCCTTTTTAGGTTTAGTCGAATTTACGTTTTAGATTTGTATGAATTTTACAATAGAAAATGTTAATAGCAAAGCATACATTTTAGCCAGGCGTAAATATTACAGTACATCAGAAATGCAAGCAGTACAATTTACATTTTAGATGTGTAAATGCTACCATACAAATGTACTAGACAGTAATTTTGTGTGAAAATGTTACAGCAAGCAAATATCGGGCCAGCGAATCCTAGGCCAGGCTTGCTGAGTCGGGCGGTGTGGTGGTCACCGCCGGTCTGCAGGGGATGGAGAGGAAGTGGGGAAGAGAGAGTGGAGGGGTTCAAACTGTAGTTTGAAATTGGATCGACTGCAGTGGCTGACTTTGTGCTTCTGCTCAAATCGATTATGCCTCATATTTAACATTTCTGGGATATATTCAACATTTTTTATGCTAAATGCTAGTTTCAAATATGGCATGCTTGTTATGTATAGCATCTGGAGAAGGGCGGCGCAAAACCTTGTAGCGCCCTATTTTTTTCTTTGTTTGCATCTAGTGGCATCACGTATCGGCTGATAGATATAGCTGTCCAGAAAACGAGTGACGAAATAGAACATATCATCCGAGTGATTTTTAGAAATCCCTTTTCATCCTTTTTCGTGTGTCGTACTAATGTTTGCATCTTTTTCTTCTTATCAGCATGACCATCTTCGACGACCTGCCCGAGTGGCTTGTCATCGATGAGATCCTTGCCCGGTTGCGACCCAAAGATGTGCTCCGCTGCCGTGCTGTCCGCAAGTCGTGGCACAGTGGCACTTCCACCAACGCGTTCATCCTCGACCATCACCGACGCCAGCCGTCGCTCCCCATCATCGAACAACGACGAAAGGGCTTCTGCCACATGGCCGGAGCCTCTAATGGTCAAAAGATATGGCCCGTCCTCCGTTACGCTGTTACAAAACCCGTTGTTATACACCGCGCCTGCGACGGCCTCCTCATCCTGGGGCAGCAATCTGATTTCTACATCTGCAATCCAACCACCCGCAAGTGTGCTTCCCTGCCACATCCTCCACAACGACCAGGCGTCAGCGTCATTGCCGTAGTCGCCTTCTACCGGCACCACACATCTAGAGAATACCGGGTTCTCTGGGTGTCATACTCCAGACCGATCAGCTCTGGTGTCCCAGTGCAGTCACCTGAGTACTTCGTCCTCACGGTGGGATCAAATCAGCCAAGATGCATCGAGTGGCCGACAGTTTCACAACACACGCTTCATGTCACCCAGTCCCCCTACTGTCCACCAGTCCACCATCGTGGTAGCTTGCACTGGGCATTTGGCCTCAACTTGACTGTATTTGACAGCGTAGCTGAGACATTCCGGCAGATGAGCCGCCCAATAGAGTTGGGTGCTTTGGTGTCATTGTTGGACATGGGTGGATCCCTTGCTTTGTGGCACACCACCTGTGATAGCATCACTTTCGATATTTGGGTGTTGCAGGACTATGATGCTGAGACATGGGGCTTTCAGTACCGGATTAGCTTGTTTACGATGGAGGCATCACCACCGCTTAATTTGGGGGTGATATATCGCCCTAGTATGGCTGTGATCAATGAGCATGAGCTGTTGATTGAGCAGCGTCCTGACCGTCTATTGCATTGCGACACTGATGGTGTGTTTTTAGGAAATGTGGAAAGTGAAGAACATGGAAACCAGCTGATACTTACCAGACATCGTTTCCAAGAGAGCATGATTTCACTTCCATTGTTTGAGACACAAGAAGACGATGATGTGAAGGAGCCTCCATTCCTCATAGTGCTATAAGTAGCCGTGTTCCATCTTATTTCCTTGGACAAGTTGTTGCTGTGCTCTAGGAGTATCAATGACATATGAACCATGTCTTTTGTTCCTACCTTTTATTACTACTAGTAGAACTGAACACTTTATATGTATGAAGTAGCACTTGTGCTATCGTCACGTGGTGCTAGTTATCCTACCGATCTTGAGCATCTTGTTAATGCTCTAAACAATGGAATATCTATGGTATAGAACTGCTCTACCGTTCCCCCCATTTTTACTTTAAGTTTGCACTATTAAGAAGCACAAAAGGAATGCTTGCAGTTTAAAATGCTAATACTTTCATGAGAAATTATGACATTTAGTTGTTGGAATGGTTAGTTAGATGCTCCCTTCGCTCCTATTGCGTTTGGCAGTTGGTTGGTCTTGCTCCAGCTCTTCATGTGTAGATGTCTTTTCTCATACGTCCGGGGGAAGCTGCTTGTGTGTCTGATTGTCACTACAATGTTTTGTTTCTGATTGCCAATTCAATACAGCCATTTTAAGAAAAAAAATTGGCAACACAGATATTTCTGCAGTGTCACTACAGTGTTTTGTTTCTGATAGCGATGAAGAGGGAGTACATTGATCATGTGTCATACAGTCATTGACTTCCACTATTTTGGAGAAAGAGGTTGGCTGTTGGTTATGTGTCTAGAAATAAGTTGGGAGAAAAAGCGTTGGTACTTTGGTGGTATATAATCTTGTAAATGTTGCTGCCCAAGTTGGGAGAAGAAGGTAAGAATACATAATTAATCTGAGTCATTGATTTTGTTAGTTAATGCGCCCAAGTCATTAACATGTGCAAAGTTGACCTATCTCAGGTGGTCACCGCTACCAGTTGCTCGACATACAGTACATACAAGGAAAAGCCCCATCATGAGTTCATAAGGAAACCCAAACTAGATCATCTGCCGGATCACACTCTCTCGCAATTAATGCTCCGCTCAAATGGCGTCACACTCGTTGGAGTAAATATACGGCGTATGAGCCATGTATTCTGTTCTTTTCTCTCAACTTTTTAGTACTACTAATAGAACGGAACACTTTGTTCTACTGATCTGACTTGTAAACAATGGTGTGTATCTATGCTACGAAACAGTTCTACTGTTCTTCCCTGTTTACTTTCAGTTTGCATTATTAAAAAGCATGAGAGGCATGGTTGCAGTTTGAAATGCTAATTCCATTGTGAGGGTCATGGAATTTAATTATTCAAATGGATAGTTTAGATATTCCCTTCTATAGCTTCTATAGCTTCTATTGTTTATAGGTTTACAGATTTACTTGTTGGTGCTCAGCTCCGCTGTTAGGCTGTTACCGTGTTGCCTCATTTACTTAAGAGGAGCTGAAGATGTCCTACAGTTAGAGTATCTGTGCCACATGAGCTGTGTATTCTGCTCTTCGTTCTTACTTTTCCTGCTACAGTTCATTGACTTTGTTGTTGGCCCGTGTATTTTTTTTCTGTAAGGCTGTTGTTGCATCTCTTGCGTTTTTTCGTTTGTGTTTAACCATTTCGCTGCTGGTGCTTGGCGATGCTGTTAGGTTGTTATGGTTTGATCCTCTGAGAGTTGAAGCCGATATATTGTGTTCTGTTTTGCATTTCCATCGGAGTTGGACATGGCCTTGTCCCTTTTACTTAAAAAGAACTGAACATGTCTTCTCATTTACCAGCTAAATGAGCTAATTCCAAGTTCATGTTTGCCTGGATGAAGATTCGTAGTTTACATGGTGACAGGTTGACCATGACGATGTCCCATTATGTAAAAACGATGGTGATCATTTGACATGTTTATTTTCTCCAAGTTCATGTCACATCAGATGGACAATCAAGTGATTTCAGTGTTGCTTGTGTGGTTGAGATTTGGAGTACTGCCTCATCTTCTTCAGTATGTGGATCAACAATTTCTAGTGGTGGTGATATTTGATGAATGACGGTGATATTTGGTGAAGCATAATACTGAGGCCGCCGCTCAGCGTTGACCATTTGTTAGGGAATGTTCGACATTTTAGGAACTGAATTTATAGATAGGTACCGTAAACAGAAGCCTGTTGTATAGATAAGAGCTGTTTATTTCCCTGGAATGTTTGAGACTGTGTCTTGATGTCGATGCTGCATTGGCGAGATTGGTTGACTGAAATAAATTTGGACGAGTTCTTCTTTTTCTTTTTAGAATGCTGTAA